TAAAGGCTCCCTGACTGCTATCAGGTATATAGGGAGAAGATCATAGAGCCCTATGTTTGACTTTTCAGGGATGTGATTTGTCTTGGGTAACTGTTAGCGGACGACTACGCTCGTCCACATAGGGCTCAGCTAGTCGAAAATTACTTGGAAAGTGAGGATATTCGCCACATATATTGGCTACCCAGGTCTCCTGACCTTATCTCTGCAAAGAATATGTGAAACGCTCTTGACAGGGCAATTTCCTCTTGCCATTCTCCTTCGAGGACCATCCCGGAGGAATATAAGCATTCTGAACCACGCCACGCACATAGGGAAAAATTCCTGCTCGTGATTGGATAAGGCTTCCGATGACATCATTTCCTCTAGGAACAGCGCCTTGACTTTGCTTTGACTTTGCCTTGACTTTGCTCTAGCGCATTGACTTTGCTTGGGCTCGAGGGTACACCTACATACCGTTTGTTTACATTTTGATAGCAGTACCGAAAAGATTATTACGTGCGTTGTATTTTTCTTGCTATGAGATTGCACTTCTTACAGCACAGTAGTGTGGTAAATTTAATGTAAAAAATGTAGTGATTTTTTTTTTCCTAGTGAGAAAAAGTATTATTGCTTCTTGTGTTAACTCCATAAATGTGTATTAATATAAAGTGCAGAGTTTTTAATAAATGTATTCTTAATTTAAAAACCTTTCATATTAAAGGTGTTCCGATTATTAATTCATTATTTCATGTTCATTATATATCCATTCTCTGCTGATGCGATCTGCGAAAGCATGAGACAAGTCAGTTTTCGGAAAAGCAAAAACGAAGTTGGGAGCTAAGATAGTACACAATAAATTCACAATATTTATAATCAGTCTGAGAAAGTAAAATTTATTTTTGAAGTTACACTAATATAAATTTGGGACAGAGAAAGAGAGATACGTATTTTAAATTGAATAATATTACTTTACGAATATTGCCCATTTTTTAATGTGTTCTTTTGTACCTTTGCATAAAGTGTTTGTCAGAGAAGAAAGTTTCTTTTCTTATACACGTGTACTAAATTCAGCGATAGTACTGAATGCACTTTTCTTTCATTTAAGGCATTTAAGGCAGAATATTAGAATGGCATGGTCACTAACATGTAAACAACATAGTATTTGCAAAAGAAACATTTTCTGCAATGTGAAAGAAATTTACTCTAACAAAATTTCAATAATATACTTAGTACCACATAATGTATTAAGCATTTAAGATTGCTTCTGATATTAACAGCACTTTTGAAAGTATAATTTTATTATTCCATGAAACAGGAAGCCATCTGCAGAACTCGGCACCTAAATTTTTTCGTTTGAAAGAAAACAAACGATAAATTTCAGGCTTCCGTTATTCAACGGAAACGAAACCGTAAGAATCCAGCCTAAACGTCGTTACACCGAGAGAAAATGATGTCATCAAAAAGTATGCCCAATCACAAGTGCAGATTTTTCCCTGCGTGCGTGACGCGGTACAGAATGCTTATATGCATCCCGTAATTGAAAACTACCTTGCCGCAGAAGTAAGATCTACTGCCACAGGGTCTCCTCAACTGTCTCCTGTCTAATATACCGGCACGAACTGCTTGGCGGACATCCCTATGCTCTATAAGCGGTACTGATAATAATGCGTACATGACTCTATTATAAATATGTATTCATACCAAAGATTCATTAAATTATGGACATAAGTCTTTCATAAATTCGACATAATGTGCAAATTCTTAAAATTTTGCATGCGATGTATTAAGATGTTTAAGAAGCTATCTATTATCAATAGTTTCCTGCTTATGACGCATTCAATGGTACTAAAATTGTCAACATAGGTTATCAGCATTTTGAAGAGATATGTTATCAGTAATAAAATGAGTATTCAGAAATTCGGCTGCTCAAGAAATAGTCGCGAATTTTGCTTAATGCGCATTTAAAATTGTTGCTATAAATTGGAAAAATTTAAAAAGGTAGTTTTCAGTTGGGTCTAACGCCCTTTGGGCTAATAAATTGAAGAAGGCGTAAAATAACCTTTTTATTTCAGTCTTAAATGAATATAAAAGCACAAATTGCGCTGCGAATAAAACCAAGATATTCTTTTACTGGCGCACAGTTTAAGTCATCGACTATCGAGAATACTAAAGCCGGCATAATTAATTTGAAGCAGAACTGGCGAAGAATACTAACAGCGAGGCGTGATTGCCAGAAGCTCTCTCACTGAATTTCAAAAACCCTCTGATTATATACACACAAAGGTAACTTGCATTCTGATGAGGAATACGGAAAGGAGAAGTTAGAATAAAGATTAAAATCATAATAACTGTTCAATTAATATAACATATATTACAGTTTCACTGTACAAATAATAGAAAAAAATTATACAAATTATATGTATATATTGTTTTATATTAAAATAAATTTGCATTGCATTTTTTATGTATTTATCAGTTTTATAGAGGAAATAAAGTACAGATTTTCATAGGTCTTTGAACAGTAAAACAGACAAGATCTTCGATGGCTACCCGCCTTAATAAAAATACTGTCATGAGAAACTTTCGAAGAAAAAATGATTGATATTCGCGTTATAGATGAAGAAAAAAAGAAAATTTTATGTAATGAAATGACTTAATCTTGCAGCACCGAACCTCCGATAAACTACCATTATTTTGCAGTTTTATCCGTTCGGCTGCTTATAAAGTAAATGATGTCAATATTATTAGAATAAGCCTATATGCCAATATTATTATAATAAGCCTATATGAAAATACAATTATAATAAGCCTTTATTTTCGCTATCAATGGTCATAGCCATATACTTCCAATTACAGAAGTGTTTTAACGATGAAAATATTCGAGTTTTGTCAATGTCAAATTAAAAAAAATATATTTTTGGACAAATAACGGAATCTAACTTTCAATGTGGTCTGCCAGTTCCTATACTTATATTTGAGAAAGTTTTAAATCTCGTTATAAAAAATAAAAATACACGAAATTTGACGACCGGCGACAAAAATTGAGCGGAATATTTAATTTTAGAATTATCAATTTTTCATGTCATTTTCAAATGGCCTTGAGGCGTGGTTAGTTAGAATAATAATAAATAAGTTAGAATAATTCGACGAAATAAGTTTAAATGAAATGCAGTAAACAATGTGTATTAATTGGCCGTACAAGTAGGTCATGTGGTGTCCACATCAGATTTTTTTTTTTTTATGACAAGACGCAAATGTTGGCAAATATAAGTATAGAGATCGGAGGAAAGTGTTAAAATCCTAATTTTTGTAAAACTGATTTTTTTTTTTTTTAATTTAGAAATTTTGCCATAGCGGTAATCTGCGTCATTTAAAACATTTTTGTAGCTTTAAATATATGTTTATCACCAGTGGTTGCGAAAATGAAGACCGGATAATGATTTTTGAGTACTTGCCTATTATCGCTAGTAGAAATCGCCAAATTTTCGAAAGTCGCCAAATTCTGGCATCCATATAGCAGCTCTTTAGGTAACCATATCCATTGAAAGTTACAATCCCGAAAATTTCGCCGAATCTTCTTTTTCTTCTGCGCCTTTTTCTTCTTCGTTTAATTGCGCCAAGGGGATTGTCTTAATATGGAAATACCGATTTTTGTTTACACGGTGTATAATAATGCGTAATCTAATCGTCATTTTATGAGCACAGGAAAGATTGAAGCATATATTAATTTTTATCAGCGCGAGGTATGCCAAAATGATTTTCAGCGTTGTTAACCTTTCAGAATAGAAATTCCACGTATCCAGCCATTATAAAGGTTTATTAAATGAAGTAAACCATCAGAATCTGAAAGACAAATTAAGCTCAAGAGCTGAGTTTCTGACAACATAGCTGATGAGTGTTTGTTAAGTTCTTGACCTCTTAATAGCAGAATTTTAAGATGAAACTATCAGATTAGAAAAGAACTAATCTGAACTGGGTTATTTATATATCCTTCATTTGTTCATTTTGATGGCAGATTAGGCGGCGGAATAAACTAATCATAACTCAGCTTATAAAGTTAACATTGAAGATCTTAACTCTTTCTAAGTCTGTTAAAAAGGTAATTACAGTAGCATGTCACTTCACTAGGTCAAGGCTTTTGGGAACCATCGCTTTAGCTGTCGAACAAGAAAAGGAAGAGGAAGCTAGTGCATTAAAAAAAAAAAAAAAAAAAAAAATCCCCTGACAAACAATGCCATGGCGTGTTGAAAGCATTGACCCAGGATTATACAAATAAATTTGTTTTAATAATGGAAGAAAATTAGAAGATCTAAAGAGGAACGACCACTCTTCGTTCATGGTATTTGAACTACTGATAAAACTTTATTGTCTATTAATCTTCAGGCTATCTATTGAAACTGTTGTACAATATTTAACATTTCAAGGAGCACTAAAAGCCTAACTATTGGGGACGATTTTATTTTATGTAGGCTTCGCGAAGAGAGAAAGCTGAATAGCTCCAGAAGAGTTATCCTTGACTTCGTTCAAAACTGACTCTCAGATTCATGCTCTGAATTATCCATTTCGAAAATTTTGATAGCGCTTTTGAGAAACGTTAAAATCTGAAGCTTTTATGATTTTTATTTACTTCATTCGAGTGACGTATCTGAGCACAGGTTACTTAATATAGTCTTTTTTATTTTGTTTCGGCTTGTCTGATGGTTAACCGACGGTGTTCCGTAAAATTATTTAGTGTATTTTCATGGTCAAATTCTTCATTTTTTTTATTAAAACAAGACAAAAATGGTCAGAATGCCTAGGGATGTACAACAGGACTTCAACTATCTCTACTCCAGATCCGACCTTCATTTATCCAACTCCTTCGTTCTTTTTCTAGGAAATGCTTTCGTTCTAAGCAAAATTAAGCTTATTGTTAATTTATTTATCGTTTTAAACTTTTTAATTGATTTAAGTCATAAAAATATAATGTAGTATAGTATGCGTTGTATAATATGCAATTTTTACAGTTGCTTTTTGTGCAGATATAGAAAAAATGTGTGGACTAATTCGCGGGCATCAAGAAGAAGATACAAATTTCCAGCACGTTCTTTGAAGAAATCACAAGAATGAACCAATTCAAGAACACGAACTCCTAAGTGAAACTTTCCCTGCTCCAATCTTATCGACTCCTTCTCTCCTCCAATTATCTTTTAGACGAATAAAGGATTTTACGAGAGCTCCGGAAGTCGTTAAAACTCACTATTTTGTTAACGATCATTTTAAAGGCTTCGCATCATGATCTGTTGCCAAAAATTTAATATGTGACTGATATCTTATGCATAGAGGCGGCTTCATACTGTGGAAATGGTTATCTAATATATTTGATGTATTAAGAGAACTGCCACAAGAATTCAGAGAAAATATTCTTCAGTTAAACGTTTCAAGGAACAGCCAAGAAAAGGTATTAGGAATAAAAAGCATCCCCACAGTGAAACATTTGATTTTAATCAACATTTGAAGAATAGACTAATAAAAAGGAATACATACTATACAACCTTCTGTTGTCACTAAAATGGAATATGCTGCCAGTAAAAGGAAGTTGCAAGATTCTTTTACCTCCTTAGGTTGGTTAGCCCCAAATGCATTTCTGCAAAAATATTTCCTCAAGTCTTAAGCACTGACAAGTTAGACTGGCATGGAACTTTTGTAATTTCCGTTTTCACTAAAAAGGAACGTGCTGCCAGTGCTGTATCACTAAAAGAAAGTTGCCAGACTTTTTGACCCCTTAGGCCAGTTAACCCCATTTGTTATTTCTGCAGAAATATTTCTTCAATACTTCTTCATGACAAATTAGATTGGGATGTAACACTTAACCCATAATGATCGATGATTTGGACTCGCTTTCATGGAGAGTTAAATTTGCTTAGTAAATTAAAAATTTTTAGTATTTTTAGAAGTATCTTGATAAGTATCGTAATTTCGTAATTCATAAGAGAAGGCGTATGGTGCAGTTATGCTAAATCCTTTTCTGAAGTGGAATTTAAAGTGTCATTGATATGTGCAAAAACAAGAGTTGCACCACTTGAAGTGCAATCTTTGCATAGACTTAGAATTATGTTCTGCACTATTGTTAGCAAATCTACTCAAGGCAGTAATGAAAAATCTGATTGTTTCTTGCTGGTAATTGTTTTGCATGGTCGGATTTTACTATCACTTTATTATGGATTGTCTCAGAATCACTGAGACAGCTTCCTTTCGTAACCAATCGAGTGTCAAAATTTAAATCTTCATTCCTGAGGTAAAATGGAGTCACACTAAAGGAAAATTAATCCAGATAGTGCTAGAGGTTTATAAATTATTATTCGGAATCTGTGTTGGATAAACAAGATGTTAAATTAAACAGTCAAGAAGCAGCCAAGGAAGAAAGAACACGCAGTTTACAATTTCGCTGAAATTGCTGATGATTCGCCTCTTTGCAATTCTTAATTTTGGTCAAAATTGTGCCGTATCTTTGCTTATTGCTTAAGATTTATCAATAATTGTTTGAAGCCCACTTTTATGGAAGAGGGATTTCTTGTTAGTGAAGAACTTAATAATGCGAATTGTGCGATTGTAAGAACTTTAGAGCATTCTGGGTTTTCTGACGAAGTATCAAGCTTAAAAGAAGCTTAAATTGAATTATTAATTTTTTAAGTAAAATAGCGTAATAAAATAATAAATTCGTATTTGTAATTACGCAGAGTTACTTTGTGTTCATGAAATCAGTTTGCATTCACTTCAAATTTTCAAGACCAAGATTCTTTTCATGTTAAACTGCAACCGTGACACGGAAGTTGAAACAGGCTATGAAAGAATAGAAATAGGCATTTATATTTTTATTCGTTCACTGAACGGATTCACGCACGCTGTGGGATTACATGATCCGTTGTCATGGAAACAGCTAGCGATATCACTATCAGCTTCAATAATAACGTCCACGCACATCGTTTACCGATCAAGAGACAATCGTAGAAAGGATACGTGAGTTTCAACTTCCTCAATTTTCTCGACTAGCAGACGATTCTCCATCTCGTTGTCTGCGTTCGGCACATAACTGATGTTTCACTGGAGTGGAACACGAGTAAATTTTTTTTTGTATGTAAACTTAGACTAGTTACTGTCTTCATGAAAGGCAGTCAGAATTCTATGCCTGCTGAATTGAATTCGTAGGTCAGTAACACATTTTTGGAAACTTATCAATTCGTTATGATCTTTCGGAAGCCTCTGCGGAACTTCGTTTCGTCGTGAAACTAAATTTGACTTAAACTAAATTTTAAAAACTTGCATTTAAAACCAGCGCTGTGTTTGTTTCATTTGGAAGGAGCCATATGTACTACTAAAAGGAGCACTAGATCAATTGTATTTCAGCTAAAGCAAATGCAGTTTACTAAAGTCTTCATGTTCACTTCAAAATTACGGCTTCAAATGACTACAGAAAGAGAAAATATCTGATGCCTCAATTCTGCGAATTCATTTAGATCGGAAGTCTTATATAATCTCATATAAATCTTATATAAAGTTGTTAAAAATTGATGGAAGCCCCCCCCCTTTTTTTTTTCCAATACCTGCCATTTTTTTCCCAGCAAGTAGCTTTCAGATGCTTGAAGACATGCTGTTCGCGCTAGCGATTTTCGAAGAGCTGGAACTTCCTTTACGTTGGTTGAAAAAGGAGCAGAAAACCGGAAGAACTCTTTTTCATTAGATTTGACATCGCGGAATCTTTCTTAGAATTCATAGTCTTCAAAGACTGAAAATTACATGGTACATGTTTCATACAAATCACATTTCCTTTGCTGAATTTTTATAACCAAAACTTTTTCGTTTTTTTTTTTTTTTCCGAGGGTAAACCGAAAACCGCAGAAAAATCAGCCGAGGGACACATGTGGCCTTTGGGCTCCAATTTGGTATGCCTGGCGTAGAACATTTAAAACTTCAGGAATTTTCCTTTTATTTCATATTTTATTTGTCGTTCTAAAACGTTAAACTAGCTTTAAAAACAAAGCATCTGTTTGACATTCTGAATAATGGTACATTTTCTGTTGCTCTGGAAACTGATAAAGTTTCCCCTCAAACATTATTCAAGAAAGTAAGACTTTTGGCATGAATAAGAGTTTCATGAAACTGCAAGAAACTTCTTAGTTTAGGTTTTCATTACATGTAAATATTTTTATTGATAAGACTCAAATTACACATATCATATTCAGAAACTGCAAACGAAACTTAAGTGCACAAGAAGGTCAAGACATTGATTTTGAGTATCCAGTGTCAAGTCACCCCCCCCCCGAGTGTTCAGTGGCTCGGAACAGATGGATGTAAAACAGCAACAACCACCAGCAATTCGCAAGCGGAAAAAGAAACCAGAACCGCCGCAGGTGGAGTTGAAAAGTCGCGAAGCTGTCTTCTTGTTCGACCACAGAAATCTGATATTTCCGAAGAAAGTATTTTATCCTTATTCGACGTCGGGCCACGCAGTGTTTTGCCTTTAAGGCTGATCGATGATAAGTTTCTAGTTACGTTTTATTCTTTTGCTTTTGAAACAGGAAGTATTAAAAGTATAAATTTGTCAAAGAATAAGTTTTTGAATATAAATTAGATAAAATTGACATTAGAGTACAAAAGATTATTATTGATGGAAAGAATCGAAAACTGAATGAAACTTTTCCTTACATTTATATTTTTTGCCCACTTACATTTATATTATTCGCAGTGAGCGTTGGCATATTTGTATTTATTGATTAAGTTTAAATTAATTTAAGGGTACTTTGTAGATGTTTATAGGATTTTGATAGCAAAAATATATTGATTCATTTCTCTAATTTTTAGTTAAAGTAAGATATAGCCAATATAATGCAAATTAATAAACGGCTGTGTAGTATAAACAATTTATTTTTAATACATAATTTTGCTTTATTTAAAAATTTTGATCTATTTCAATATTCTCTAATAATATTTAATAGGAATATGTTTTCTCCATCTCCAAGTTTACTTTGATTAACGGGAACTTAAAAGTTTAATGTATTCGTCAGGTTTTCGAATTCCACTCTGGTTAACTTCAATTCCATTTTTACTTCTTTTCTTATTTATGTTCTTATATATTGGTTAATAGTGCATTGTTTACGTCAAAAGTGATTGCATTATGTTGTTCTTATTCTCCAGTTAAGGATTTTATACCTTTAGTTAATTTATAAGTAAGTAAAGGAAACATTGTAATCGCGAAAAATTTCGGGTATCATATTTCAGCGGAAACATCCATTTTGACCGCTGTCGAATATCTTTGAAAAGTGTATATTTGCGTGACATCTGTTTGTACGATAGAATAAAGGGCTCATTTTTCCAAAAGAGATCGTAAAATGGATTTCAGATGGATTCAAAAGAGATTTATATAACTTCTATACTGTCTTGTATGTATCTCGCATAACTCAAAAACGAGCAGTCGCAGAACGTTGAAATTTTTGTATGGGACTGTTATAACATCTAGTTGTGCAACTCCCTTTTTCGTTGCAATCAGCCGCACCAAAGGTATGTATATATATATATATCCCCGCTCTGTTACAGGGCTCGGTGAGCTCATTATTTATGTTCTTACATATTGGTTAATAGTGCATGGTTCACGTCAAAAGTGATTGCATTATGTTGTTCTTATTCCCCAGTTCAGGATTTTATACCTTTAGTTAATCTGCATGCTATAGTTGTAGAATTATCAACACTAAACCTAACGAAGCCGCCATCTCTTTACATTTTAAACTCTTAGCAGAATAGTGAATTAAGTCAGTTTCTGCATCAACCTTAGTGTTATTTTGCCGAGGGGGACCAAAAGTAAACCTTCAGTTTTGTCCACCGACAAATCTGTCTTCGTGCCCGTCGGCCGAATGGCTCGTTTTTGCGTAGAAACTCTAATTTTAATAGCAAAAAAAATTTTAAAACTTTTTTTAACTGCATTTGGTGTTTTAGGCTTTTCTACATTTTACAATTTTAATAAAAGTAATTTGAATTTTTATGTATTTTTGCCTTGCCGGGAAGTGAGAACTGAGTGGACTGAATGAGAAATATATCTATAATGAAATTCGAGTGAATAAAAGTTTAAATGAAATGCAGCAAAAATATGTATAATTTAATAGGCTGTACAAACAAGTCACACGGTGTCCACATCAGATATTTGATTTCTAGCACAAATAACGAGAGCTTTTCGTAAACTTACTCAATTTCTAACGCTGATACTTTCAAGATGGTGATATTCGAATTATGTTTAGGTCTGAGTAGAGCATATAATAGAATGGAGATGCATATTCCAGAAAAAAGTGATGTTAATTCAGCAACTGAGAAAGATGAGTACAATCTAAAGAATCTGAATGCAGTTTTATGAATTTTGTTGAATGGGTTAATTGCCTGTGAAAAAAAAAGAACGTCTACTAGTGGGCGAGGTAATTCAAAAGTCGCTGCAGAAACTTTAATGCAGATGAAGGAAACGCTAAGAGGAAGAGGGATATTATAAATGAACGTTGTTCTTCGATACTAAAGTTCATCTACTGGGCGGTGTGGCATACAGATGCTTTCGATTTTATAATTCTTAATACTAACATGGAATGCTGAGGTAGCTGTCATACATCTAACACAGTTATTCTCAGTCCTTTTGAACGGACCTATTTGACTGATATACCCACGATCTTGTGACACAGGGAAATCTTTTTTTTATAAACGGCGTATCACTTTTCAGATTGTTGCCACCAAATATTATCGCCCTGTATTATATTTAAAGAAATTAAATAATGAAGAATCTGCATGAATGTATACATGTTTCTCGCAGTGGGAAAAAAACAACGGTACCTAGAGCCATCCAAATTTAAATAACGTACTCCTCCATCCGAACATGGACACCTGGAAGTCCGAATTTTGAATTTCGAATTTGTTTTATTATCTATTTCATATTTTGTGAAACTTTAGCGAATTATTGTTTAACAAACTCAACGATTTCAAAGCGAGCATTGGCAACGCTGTACGAAAAAAAAAAAAAAAATTTATCTCCAGCATGCGAGTTTGTATATTCGAAATTCTAAAGATATGTTGTTCTTAAATATTTTGTCATTTTGCAGTTGAATCCAATTTTATGTGGCGTAAGCCCCAAAAACGTGATATTTAAAAAATAAAGAGAACACACAAACGTTAATAAAAAAGATAGAAAAGGTTTTTTTTATCCATCTTAGTAAGAAAACTGAACATTGATAAACTGAGAAAAAAACAGAAAAATGTGCGCCCGCTTTTAACACTGCATCGAGACTCTAAACGTATGCTGTTATGCTGCATTTAAAATGTTTGTAATTTTGCTGTTGAATTGTACATAACGTTATTGCGAAGAAATTGATGATTAATAATAAAGCTGAAAAGAGAAAAAAAATGGGTTAGTAGGCGTGAATATAATAGCAGACTGGTAAACTGAGAGCTCATCAAAAGCGCAAAAAAACCTTAGGAAACCCTTTTGGGCGACCGTTCAAATCTGAAACCTTTGAGATGTTTTTCACTATTATTATTTTACTAATTAGCATTTTATTAAACTCCTTCGTTAATGTGAAGTCAATGTTCGGTACATTCTACACATTTTTGGCACTGTGTGGTCAAATGGTCAACAGACCAACAGGCAAATCATCTTCAGCATGAATATACATTTAGATTTTACTATTTTTCATTGTAGAAAGTTCTGACATGCACAATTGTGATATCATAAATTAAAATAGTATTTGATGGCCTTTTCGTTGATCGGAAATGCACATTGCACGTAATTCCAAAATCATAGCAGTGAAGTTATTACAAAATTTCTTTTATTGGTAGAACTATTATTAACGTGAATACGAGGAGCTAGTTCTCTTAAGAAAGTCCTCCGCGAAGGTATTACTCCTCTCTGGACGGACAGCTTTCACGAATTTCGCCATATTCCAATAACCTATTTTAACTATACAAAGTTACCGACGAAAGCAAAAAGCAGTTTTAAGACTTCATTGTTAACACTTTCGTACGAGACGTGAAATAAACCCGCAAACATATGTATTGAAATTCTCTAAAGGATAATTTATATAAATAAACAAATATTAAAAGTAATAATTATTAATATTTTGCTGTTTGATGTCTCTCCCATTAATTTTCAAAGAGCTTAGAATAGTATTTCATGTGGGCATTACAAGTTTGATTTAAGATACTGTTAGCGGATGGAAAGTAGACTCAAACGTTCGTTACTGCGTTTATTAGACTGTGTAAAGAACAAGTTCGTACAATAGATATACAAGTAGTTCGGCGCTCGCAGGCGCCCTCTTGCAGGGAACAAAATCAAAATTTACATAAGGCGCGAACATGCCGCCCACCTTGAAATACTATTTCAACATTTAGTGGTTAAAATTCAGTAAATTTAAAACACAATACAATATTAAAATTATGATATAATACTTAATTTATAATACATGAATTAAAACTCAAATTGGTAATGGACACAATTTTGTAATATTTCTTTTAACCATGCCATCTGAAGTCTTAATAGTCACAACCCTAACAACACTATCAAGACCAGGATGTAACTGAGTAATTCTACCCATTTTCCATTTAGTTGGAGGTAAGTTATCCTCCTTTATGAGACACAGATCATTAACTTGAAGATTTTTAGTTGGCAAAAGCCATTTTGGTCTTTGTTGTAATCGACACAGATATTCTTTGTGCCAACGTTTCCAAAATTGTTGAACCATTTTTTGAATATGTTGCCATCTAGTGAGATGGGAAACTTCAATGTAATTTGGTTCAGGAATGCTTGTTAATGATCTACCAATAAGAAAATGACCAGGCGTTAATGCTGACAAGTCATTTGGATCATTAGACAAACTTGTTAAAGGTCGCGAATTAAGACAAGCTTCTATTTGTGTGAGAAATGTTTCAAATTCTTCATATGTCAATCTCGCCTCACCAACTACTCGTTTTAAATGGTATTTTGTTGATTTTATGCCAGCTTCCCAGAGTCCACCCATATGTGGCGCACCTGGAACGTTTAGATGCCATTTAATGCCATTATCAACCAAATATCTGCTAACATTTTGGTTATAAGTTGCAGACCTAGCAAGCCTTTCAAATTCCATCAGTTTGCGTTTTGCTCCAACAAAATTGGAACCACAATCGCTATATATATCACTGCTTTTGCCTCTGCGGGAAATGAACCTCTTAAGAGCTGCAATAAAAGCATCTGCTGAAAGATCAGTCACTAATTCTAGGTGAATAGCTCTTGTCGTAAAACAAACAAATAGAGCTATATATGCCTTGAATGACCTAGAGCCTCGACCCTTATTTGCTTTAATTTGAAAAGGACCTGCGTAATCCACTCCACAGCGCAAAAACGCAGGAGCAGGCGAAACGCGACTAGACGGCAAATCGCTCATCAATTGATTAGTGACAGATGCTCTAATTTTGCAACACTTTATACATTTCCTAACTAAATCTCTGATAACAGCTCTACCATTTATGATCCAATATTGTTCTTGAATGCAAGATTGCATAAGTTGTGGACCTGCATGCAAAAGTCTTTCATGGTAATGTCTAACAATGAGATGAGTTAAAATGTGCTTCTTTGGAAGCAAAATTGGATGCCTAAAACCATATGCAAGGTTTGCATGTCGCAAGCGACCGCCCACCCTGAGAATACCTAAATTATCTAAAAATGGATTCAAAGATAAAATTTTGCTTGTACCAGATAATGATTGATTTCTGCCTAAAGTGTTAATTTCATTCTTAAATTCAACATATTGCATTAATTTAATTAACACATGCATAGCTTTAGTTAATTCACTTGTTTTTAGAAAATCCACTTACCTGATCTTCTGAATTTTTACAGTTATTTACAAACCTCAGACATAATGCTACAACACGTTTAAGTTTAGTGAGAGAGGAATATTTATAAAATAAATCATGAGCGTCTGTCAAGTGACTGGCAGCAGTTGTTGACTGTAAAGCACATCATCTTTGCTCTGGCACAGAATCATTCAGTAGTGGTGCAGATAATGCTTGCTGAAAAGGAAATAAATTATACAATAAATCTGGACCACGTAACCACAATGAAGTAACCAGTGCAGATGATGACACACCACGGGTTGCAAGATCAGCAGGATTAGCATTTCCACTCACATGATGCCACTGGACAGGAGAGGATAAAGTCTGGATTTTTGCTACTCTGTTGGCGACGAAGGTCTTCCATCGGCTTGCATGAGATCTTATCCAGGCTAATACAATAGTGGAATCAGTATGAAAATAAACTTGCGATATAGGAGTATTTAAAGCCCTACAGGTGAAATCCATTAATTTAGTCAACAGTAATGCTCCACAAAGTTCCAATCGGGGAAGTGATATGGTTTTTAGTGGTGCAACTCTTGTTTTGGCTATCACTAACTGAACATTAATTTGTCCAGCATCTAACACAGAACGATAATAAATTGCAGCGGCGTAGGCCTTCTCTGAGGCGTCACAAAACCCGTGCAGTTGAAACTGGTTATCTGATTCAACCAACAAGAATCGTGAAATTTTGATACTTTTAATAAATAACAAATCTTCTGTAAGTTGTTTCCACTCACATTCAATATCTGGAGGAACCTTTTCATCCCACTGAAACTGATGTTTCCACAATCTTTGCATAATCAATTTATACCGAACCGTGATCGGTGCCAACCATCCAAGAGGGTCAAAGGTCTTTGCGATTATTGAAAGTAATGTTCGTTTGGTTAAGACTTCAGGATATGATGAATTGACTTTGAATAAAAACATATCTGAAGCTGGATGCCACAGGATACCTAACGTTTTTACAGTATCATCATTGTCTATGTTCAAAGAAACATTTGATAAGCACAAATCTGGATTAATTGAATTCAAGACTTCTTTGCTGTTAGAAGCCCATTTTCTTAGAATAAATCCTGCACGTGACAACATCTGATTCAATTGCATTTGTAATTCTATAGCTTCAGTAACTGAATTGGCTCCGGACATCAAATCATCAACGTAGAAGTCCCTAAGACATGTCTTGGAAGCCAAAGGAAAATTAGTTGCTTCATCTATGGCTAACTGCTGTAAACATCTTACCGCAAGGTACGAAGCTGATGCAGTACCGTAAGCAATCCTAGTTAATCGAAAATCCTGAATTGGTTTATAAAGTGAATCGCGCCAGACTATTCTCTGAAAGTCTGCATCTTTTAGTATAATTTGTCTGTACATTTTCTCTATATCTGCAGTTATAGCTATTCTGTGAATTCTGAAACGAATAATTAATGTTGTCAGATCAGTCTGCAACTGTGGACCAACCATCAATTTCTCATTAAGAGAAATACCGCTAGAAGATTTTGCAGAACCATCAAATACGACTCGAAATTTATCACCATTTTTATCCGGAACTGAATGGTGCGGAAGGTAAAAACTAGAATTAGCTGGAACATCAATTTCATTTTCTGGAATCAATTCCATATGACCAAGTTGTTGATAGTCCTCCATAAATTTGTGATATTGACTGGAAAGAGATTTATTCTTAATAAATTGACGTTCAATGCTTTGTAAACGATGTACAGCAACATCCCTTGATGACCCAAGTTCATTTCCCGATCTACGAAATGGAAACTTAACAACAAATCTACCTGTTGAATCACGAGAAAAATTCCGCTTGAAATGATTTTCACATTCAATTTCCTCTTCTGTGTAATGCTTTATCTCCGAAATTTCTTCCAATTTCCAAAATTTTTCAAGCTGGAGCTGAACATTGGTACAACTAGCATGATTAGATACAATTGTCTTGTGATACACTTTTAGTCTTTCCGATAATGACCCAGCCGAATATTGATTCCAAGGCTGTTAACGAATGACCCGGAACAGTTAAACGTCCATGAAGCATTATCTCGCCAAATACATCTGCGCCCAAAAGAATATCTATTGGGCCAGGCTGGAAACAATTTGTATCTGCCAACCACAAATGTTTGAAAGATGTCAAAACAGATCTATCAACTTGATATTGAGGAAGGTCACACGTGATCTTGGGTATAATTAATGCATTAACTGAAATGCTTGCGTTTTTATAAAATGGAGATGTTACTTGTAATTGAACTGAACCTGAAACCTTTCCAATTTTTTGCGAGCTCAGGCCATTTACACTTACGTTTGCACTAGTGCGCTTTAGCTGCAGTAAATTTACACAGTGCTCTCGAATAAATGAGCCCTGGCTACCTGAATCAATTAGCATCCTGCATTTTTGTAAATCGCCATTAATATCTTTAACATAAACAACCGCAGTAGGCAATAAAACTGCTTGCGCAACAGGCACCGTGGCGTTATTGCTACTAATAGCAGAAGTTCCGTGTTCCATGGGTATATGACATTTTTCATCATTTGAATTTTTCGAACATAACACTGTATTATGTGGCTTTGAACAATATTTACACATTCCTGCACGACATTTAAAAATGGGATGCGTTTTACTATCTTTCAAACAATTAGCACATAATTTATTCCTTTTAATAATATCCCATTTTTCTTTGATAGGGAGTTCTAAAAAACTATCACATTTAAATAACTGAGAATGAGAATTACTCTTACAATGAACGCACACATTAGCCACAAGTTGGGACGAAAAAGCGTATCTGCTACCTGAACCGCGAGTTTTAATTTCAGAAGGCAAAATTGACTTCTCCCTCTGGCACCTCGCCAAAGAGGCAATAGCATTCGCTCTGTTTAAAACAAAACGCTTGAATTCAGCGAAAGCAGAAATTTTCTTGTTCGAATGCTCTATCGTCCACTCTTTTAGTGTTTCATGATCAAGTTTCCCTTTTAACAGAAAAATAATCATAGTATCCCAATGCTCTACCGGCTGTTTAAGGATTTTTAATGTATCAATACACTGTTGTGTTGTATCAATTAATCTCCGCAAACCTGAAGCTGATTCATGTTTTAGAACAGGTTGTGAAGTTAATTTATTTAATGCTGCGTTTATTATTCTATTTCGTTTTCATAACGTTCAGTAAGCGCTTCCCATGCCTTTTCATAATTCGCGTTTGAAATTTGAACTGACTGTAGTAGTAAAACAGCAGCTTCACCTTTCACAGAAAGCTTAAGATATTGCAATTTTTGACTGTCACTTAATGTACTATTATTTCCAACACTGGCAAGAAATAAATCCCTGAATGATATCCAATCAACATAATTAGAAGAAGTAAACACTGGCAATTCCACGCGAGGAAGTTTCAAAGCCGTTTGCATTAGCATTTATTATATCTTTGCCTGAATTTCTAAGTTTTCTTGATTCTTCCTTTAAAGTAATTTTTAATGCATCTAATTTGGAAAATAATTCATTCATTTCTATTTCATATTTACTAAACTCTGCGTCAGAACAAGTACCAAGAATGTTATCGTTTAAACAGTTCACTTCAACACTTAATGCACTAACATCATTTTCGTACACTTCAATGGCAGAAAAAAAGAATTTTCTTGATTTTGTAAACTATTTATTTGTGAAATTAAAACGAGTCAACTTACCCTTAATGATACGCTTTTGCTTTAAAATTGACTCCATATTCCTGCCGCTGTTTTCACAATCCAGACAAAATATAAATCCGTTTTCCTGCACGAAATGTCCTTCTATACCAGAACGTTAAAAATTGTCTTGACACATCATCCAAAGAAATGCTCCGGCTCGACGGACCATGTTAGCGGATGGAAAGTAGACTCAAACGTTCGTTACTGCGTTTATTAGACTGTGTGAAGAACAAGTTCGTACAATAGATATACAAGTAGTTCGGCGCTCGCAGGCGCCCTCTTGCAGGGAACAAAATCAAATTTACATAAGGCGCGAACAGATACAATACCTCAACTGAGATTATAAAAGAATTTTTTTGTGCTTGAAATCTATAAAAGACCAGCAATCTTCCTTCAACTAAATTTCATTGCTGATTTCAGTGAGTTATCAAGCCAAATACTCATTTAAATAAAAAAAAAAAAAAAAAAAAAAAAAAAAAAAAAGAAAGTGGAAGATGTATAATAAATAGAAAGGAAGTTTCATGTATTGTAAACCTGAGTTACACAAACTAAACTTTCAGACAAGGGGAAAAATTAAATCAAATAATAAATAAATAAAAATATCTGAAAGGTTTCAGATTTTAACGAACGCCCAAAAGGGTTCGTTAAGGTTTTTTACGTCATCCTGAGCTGGCAGTCTACCAGTCTGCTGTTACACTCACTCCTAATGACACCCCTTTTTTGTCTTTTTAGCTTTATCATTAATCATATTTTTCTTCACACTTATGCCATACACAATTCAGCAGCCAAATTGCAAAAAATTTAAAAGCAGGACTGTAGTATGCGTTTAGAATTCCCTATGCAGCGTTATGCGTTGGCGTACATTTTTCTGTTTTATTCA